TCACACCATGCCCCACACTTATGCCACCATCAAAAAAATTTTCACCAGAAAGTTCCAGAGCTTTTACTAGAAACCTAAATATAGGTTTGCAATCAATAGGTATATACTCTAATTCCGACATACAACATCATATTTGCACACAACAATTTCAAGAACTCCTTACAAAAATGGATACAAAACAAAGACAATCCATTGATCGAAATTTAAGTAAATTTGCAGAAACCGCAGGACTTTCAGACATCTATACACAAGACTACAGTGGATATTTTAAAGAAAAAAGATAACATCTATTTAAACGGTCAAAAACACCGTCCACAAGATATTTCACCTATTAATTTTTCAGTTTTGTGAACTTAAAGAACGAGCTTCTCGCCTTTCTAGGATGGCCCTAGTACATCTTAGAAAGATTGACTATATCATAACAATGTTTTTTTTTTGGATTTCTCTTCTCATTACTGAAAAGAATCTATAACACATGCGCAACACACACACAACTAAACAAACATGCAATTGTGGCACGCATATTATTCGCAGGATTTTTTGGAACATTTTTGACCTCAGTTAACAAAAATCTTCTAGATTCTCAAATAAGTGAGTAAAACAAAAACAATCAACAACATCAAATGCATATAATAATTCACAAGACAACAGAAATACAACACGTACTGCGCTACAATTACACAATTTACATAATAACAACCATCCGTTATCTTTAGTACCACGAAACTAGAGAAATACAACATTAAAAGAGCACATCTTTACAAAACATAGCTACCCACAAAATCCATTTTCTCATATAGTAGCCAATCAACCGAATATCGAAGATGCACACGAACAAATCATAGAACAGCCACATGCCACTAAATTCCGTTCTCAGAACAACCATCTTTTTAGCCCACGATGAGCCACCAGATTGGAAGCCTCAACCGTTCCTTTTCTTACCCATTCAATCTCCAACTTCACTCTCCAAACATATCAATTTCTGATCTCACTCCCTCTCCCATACCGTTACACACTAATAATTGACCACGCATGGATTCTGATGATAATTCCACACACACACAGTTTTTCATTCAATCTCACAATTTAAAATTTCCAATTTTGGAACTCCAGATGAATTCCAAAATTCCGAGACCAGCCCATCCAATTTTTCGCAACACCCCTTCCGTCCACTCCACGCCTCAACTCCCAATGAACTTTCCCCAGTCTCTTCTTCCTACACCAACGCAACCCTAATTTTCTCCACAATGACCAGCGACCAATGCGACCCCCTAGCCCCTTCAAAGAAGAACTAGGAAACGAGCTTGATAATTTCATCACCTTACAACAAGAGCTTCAAAACTCTAACACACTAAGAAATCATCACTTATCGCAATCCATTACATCCTCCGAATCCTCCAACCCAGCATCAACAATTGAAGAAACCCGAGCCCACCGAGTATTCAAACAAAAACATCCCAATATCCCCAATGCTTTCCAACCCCCGACCTCCTCGAATGTTTTCGGTTCACCCACTCCACACTAACACTCAAGAATTTCTACAATTTTGCTTACCATACTTTCCACAAAACACTTACTACCAAACCACTAACAACGATCAACGAACTTACGTTGACGAACATACCCTGTTTCCCACACTTTCATGGACATCATTTTACCATTTCACTAACCCATCATCATTTCCATTATATAATAACCAAGAAGACAATGACTTATGTCAAACTCGACTACATCACCTAACCACAGCACTTCATGAAGAACAATTCACAACCATCGGACTAACCCAAACACTAAATAGTTTTGTTGCACAGAAAGCAAACCGATCCTCAATTAACCACTATGATCACGCTAATGCACGTTATATGGAACTAAGCCCCAGCAAACTGAAAATTTTTTCATAAACTCCCAATATGTATTTGTCATTAACTGCATGAATAAAAATATGTTAAAATTACATCCACATTACATCCACGTTTCTCAATAGTATTCAATTTCCTTAAACCAAAAGAATGTGACTTACACTGCTCACATCAAAAAACTTTACGCACAAAACAAACTCACGCATATAGTTATTATAAACTTATTCAACACCACAATACATCTAATACACCATCACAAAACCCACAACATCGATTCACATTTTTAAACTCTAAATATACTTCACCATTCTTCCTAAATTTCACATACTGTAAAAAAGACACTAATATGCAAGGCATCATCGAAATTACGACCCCATAAGACAAATATATATTTTCTGCGCACTAACCAGAACTTTCAACTTTGATGAATCTCGCCCACTAATTGCCCCCAACGAGTATATACAGCCCGTCGAAGTTCCAATCCCAGAATATATTCACAACACTAAATATAAACATAAGCTTTATAACCTAATTCGAAACAAACCGCAAGAATTCTCACTAAGTAGTGAATAGCGCAAGATCATCAGAACACTTGAGTTTCTATGGCCTCTCCTTCAAACTAAATACGTCATCCACTTGCTTGCTAAGCTCCTAACATCATCAAACACAATTCACAATGTTTTCAGATTGAATTTTTTGTCGACAATGACCCTTAGTAAGTATAATTAAGTATTTTCAACTAATAAATTTCAAACTTAACTAACCATTTTTTATAACTGTTTCACTTTTCTTCTTTAAATTTCATCACTGAATCAACTAAAACAAATAAAAATTTTAAAAAATTTTAAACACTTTTTCATAAATTTTTAAATTCATTTTAACAATTCAAGTATGTAAAAAAAAGCAGGAAAGTTTAGCTTTAAATAGCAGTAAATTCATAAGTTTAATCCTCTAAGGCAGTAAGTCTCCCTCTACACAGCAATAAAATCATAAAAAATGCAACTAAATTAAAGAGTACTAACCGTTTAACAAGACGCTTCTTTTATAAATTTGAATCCGTCACTCGCCCATAAATCACACACTCTTTCCACAATCGCACAGCTCGCCCACAAAGAATTGTTTATATAAATAATTTTAAGTTTCATTTTTCACTGATAACAACTCTAACTTGTTTTCACACTTTTCAAATTTTCTTTTAACCCGGTTGGACGGAATCATATAAAAAACTGGAATAACCAACGCAGCCTAAAAACCTAAAAAAAAACACAAACCAATGGCATGACTAAGAAAAAAAATCCCACGGTACCCAAACCAGATTAAAACGAGCTTAAAACAAGATAAATTATTCTTTTGAAAACCACTTTCAAGTTTTACCACAACCAAATAAAACACAAAAAGTGGATAGACAAAGCCAAACCAATTGTTTCTATTTTTGAGAAAAGGACACAACCAAAACAAAAAAGAAAAAAACAAGTAATAAAAATGAATCAAAAGGTTGAACAAATAAAGAGACTCTGCACAAAGGGACCATAGAAATATAACCCACTCATGGCTTCACCAATCAGAGGGACGTCCTGAGCATGCTCTAGAGCCGGCGCGCTACAACCACGCGCTACAATCACGCTACCCATCGCGCTACAACCACGCTTTGTGACCCACACTCTATTTTTACCGAGAGTTGCTCTAGTGAGAGCGACTGTTAAAAAATAAACAAACTAAAATAAAAAAGCTTTTGCGATAACAATTAATTTTAAATCATAACTGAAGCTTAATTTAAAAAAGGAGGTATATATGTAAACCATAAATGCATGATGTAAAGTTTTATTAGAGCCAAGGAACGAGCAGCAAAAGAGATGACAACCCAAACGCACTCCAATTCTGGAATGGCAAACCTGATCGACTTGCTGCCTAAAGTCACTAACCTTAAGGATTTAAAGTGTGGCTCAACATCGCAGCAAAAGAAAAATATTGAACCAGACCAATGGACATCTCGATGATGACTACACGTACAGATCCTAGTCACTTGGCACTTCACACGGAAAATTCAAACTTCACCCTGCACGTAGTCTTGCTCTATACTTAACGAAATCGATACACCATTGCATCGATCAGAAGTCTTGACACAGTCACCCAAGACCACCACTATCAATGAGACCCATCTTGAAACACGAACAAAACAATCTTCCTCCGTCTAACACAAACAACCACACTTCTCCTCTTTCCAAGAAGTCAATGCTCGCAACTTCAAAAAGAAACTACATCATTTGTCCTTCACTACATTAAACAATTAAAACTAAACAATCTCCAAGCCCCGGATGGGTGGAACAAGTTCTTAACTAGTATTCATAAGCCAGTTATTTTATTGATAGATTATCTTTATAAAATATTTATAACTAACCTATCATATTCCATTTCTAACATTGACACTTATTTGTAAGTGCTGAAACTACTTGTAGTTTCAGCACCAGAACAAATTGAATAAAATTTTCAATACAGTTGTTCTCCTTCTGGATAAACTCCAAGAACTAACTCGCATAAAATAGTATACACTAGATCTAATGAGACTTGGAGATTTAAGAGTAAGATTAAGATCGGTATTAGACTAAGAAGTTGCACGAATCTATCCGGCCGAAAATAAGATAGCGTGACGAGCAGACGGTATACCTCATCTGAAATTACTCTATGAGTATAATCAATAGCTCATAACTCAAAACTGACCTCGGATTAATCCAAACACCGTTCAAAGTCACCCTAAATTACTGTGTATTTTAAATGATGCTATCAACAAACGAGCATATTTCTTTATAAAAATTCCAATCTTCAGAAATGTATAGTTGCTTTTTATAAAATCAATTGTACATTGATATATTTAATGTATCTTTGAGACGCCTGTGATCCTTAGATCTAATTCCGATTCTCCCGGAAACTACTTAATTTACGCAAATTTCTTTATTTTTGATTTTTTTTATTGATGCTCTTATAAACAAGGTATACATATTATAATTACGAAAAAAGAATTCGACGGCGGTATTAGATTCGACTGCCCCATTGACAAATATTTTAGATTTTGGTGATAGTGAGAGATGGGTACAGGGACTGGCAGTCGAGTCAGTGTTTATGGCTTAGCTTTAGGCTTCGTACCTGTGTCGTAGTAGTCAATCATGTTAATTGCGATCCATTTGGGCTCAATTAGAATGTGGAACCAGGTGTGGGCGGCCATCGGCTCCAGAGCCGGGGGTAGGTCTCTACTCTGGCTGCTGTTGTAGGGATTTTGAGTGTGATATGCATCTAGACAGTAGTAATCGCTGAAAAATAGCTAAAATTGCAAAAAAAAAACATTTTCCTTGCTTGCTATCTGTTCCGACCTTTGAAAATGGGTAACTTTTGCTTTGTTTTTTGAACTTTTTTCTTTTTTCTCAGATAAAAACAGGTACGACGAATAATCATTAGAATGAATCAAGTGATATATCACTTAAACCAGGTGCGGATCTAGGATTTTCTCGAGAAGGGCGGATTTTCAACATTACGAGGCCAAACTGTGTTTTCTGAGCATTGTAAACGGATTCCGGAACAAGCCAAAATCAGATTTGTCGCGGAACCCACAACGATGCTACTTTTCTTTGATCATCGTTGCTGTTTTGGATTCCACAAACAAAAGCTTAAAACATTGTACCGCTCAAAATTGCTCCAAGTTAGGCGAATTGCGGAATCCAGATCACTTTGTGGAATCCACAAGCAAATAATAAGACGTATGTATAGCTAGTTTGAGCTGTTGCGGAATCCGCAACTGTACGCGGAATCTGCAAATGGCTAGTGGAATCCGCATTTTGTTTGCGATTTCCACTTACATTTGCGGATTCTACTTATATTTTGCGGATTCCATCTACATTTCGCGGAATCCACTTAGAGTTCCAGAATCACCAACAACTAGCTATTTTTGCTTGTTAAAGAATCTGCAACAAAACAAATGTGCCGACAAAATATACGTTACAGGTATTTGTATGCGGAATCTACAAAACTTTTGTAAGCGGAATACTCTTACATTTAAGAACATGTTTGAAGACTTGTCTCTGTAATCCAGGAAGATACAGACACAAAAATGTGGCCTATCCAGTGCAAAATTTGGCCTCATAACGAAAACATTTCGAAATATTCGTCGACTTTTTTTAGGTCAACCAAATTGATTTTCTGAGCTCTTCTCAATCACTGTAAACACCAGTAGTAGATACTGAGGCTAAAGTGGGGGGGGGGGGGGGGGTGGGAGTGGTTGGGTTTTAGGATAGGGAATAGATCATCCGGTCAGCCAGCTATGTATTAAGATTGGACATAGAGTCTACAATTTTTTAAGATAAGGAATACCAATGGTAAGATTTTATGGTTTTTGTGATAGTACGATATTGGTTAAAAAAAAACGAATTTTGTTTTGGTTTCTGTGTGAAAAAGTCTAATTTTTTCGCAAAAATCTCGGCGCGCGTTATCTAATTGGAAAAAAAAATATTGTTAGGGACGTGTAAATTGTGGAATGAAGGTCTTTTAGCTATTTTTTTTGTGCTATTTTTTAAAAAACTTCAAAACACAAAAAGTTTTCTTTTAATTCGATCTAACATCAATTTATAAGATACTCGTGCTTTCTATCTACCTGAATCTATTCTGAAGCTTCGAAAAAAGTCAAATTTTTTGAGAGAAAAATAATAAATTACAAAGAAAGTATATAAATCACTGCATCGTATTTGAATTTTACCGCTACTTTGTAATAAAACACCAACAAAATACTGCATTGAACAAAAATTTAATAAATTGCATCCATCTCGAAAGAGTCTTTATAAGTCCAATGGTTTTGTATGAGTTCCGTCATCTTGAACTTGTCTTTTTGAAAAAAAAAAATAAGTCCTATCTTTGTTTGCTCATTTGTGGTCACTAATCCTCGTTTGTTTAATCCTTTGCTGCTAAATTTGAATTTATCTGACTTGTTGTCATAGTTTCAATAAAATTTGCTACATAAACATAGCATTTCTGTGCATCTAAATTCCTCTTTGAAAAGTCCCGGCTCCCGCTTATTGTGCTTTTTATGTGTACTGCAACCCGTTCGAGGAAAGAAATTAGATTTTGCATCTGCTTTGAAAGAGTCTCTGCAGTCATTTTTACTCATTTTTCCCAAATGTCTCATTTTTCTGGTTGGATACATTCATATAAGTTTTCCTCAGCAAGTGCCAAGTAAAGTTAGTCTGTATTTATCTCCAACTCTTCAAACTTATTTACATCACAGAACTTGTCAAAGAAGTTATAGTAGAGTTCCAACATTCTCAGCTTTGCATACTGAAGTATGAAAAAGCCAACAATGATGGGTTCTCGGTGCTCAATGGTGGTATTCAACAATTCGACCACAAATAAGTCTTTCTCAACTGTGTTCAATCTTTTAAACAGTGGTTCATTGATCGCCTTATGAGTTTTTTCATCGATCAGATATTTTGTGATTGTATGTCTCGATCTATCCATGATTTGATATCCATACGAGGAATTACCCAAAAGTTTCATTGTTTCTGCTACAACTCCTGATAGAGCGTTTTCATCTCCTTCTCTTCTCGCATCAATCACTGATTGAACGAAATTATTGAATCCATTCCGTGGAGAATACTGAACAAAACGGTAAATTTTGGTGCACTGCAAGCCAACTTCCAAATGAAAGTTGAACAGAGGAGTTATAACTGTTCCATTTTCTAGCTTGAAACTAGATATCAGCATTCTTTGAGGATGCTTCAACATTTCGTTCTCGATTGCATAGTTTTTCATGTAGTCTCCGACATCGTTTCTTCCAACTTCGGTATTTTTGAAAATTGGAGAAAAGCTGGAAAATTTTGATTTTAGTTCATCTGGAAGAGCTAAATTGTAAATTGCTCTAAACATAGCCAAAAAGAGTCCTATCTTTTTTTTTGCCAAAAGGGAGTCTGTAGATAGGGAGTCTTTTATAGGGAAAGAGGGTTCTGACGTGATTTTTGATCTTGTCATTGGTTTTCAATTTTTCCCACAACCCATACTCCCACATTTCTTCAACTTTATATCCTTTCTCTTGTATGTGTTCCCGTCTCAATTCATCCACCTCCCTCTTCTTGTTTCCTTGCTCAATATCCTGATCTGTTGAGGAGGGACGAGCAATTTGACAGGAACAGAAGTGGTAGTAACATCCCATTGCTTCAAACACTGTCTTACAGTGATCGCAATAAGCGTCCATAATAAAACAGTTAATTTTTTTTTGTCCGGATGTGAAAAAAACTCTCGATTTTTCATTCTGGTCTAAATTCCTGGTAAAAAGACATGACCATAATCTCAAAGTTGCGAGTTCGATTATGTCTAGATTTGAATTTTTGTATATCAGTGTCAAACTCCCAACTCGTGTACAGTCCTGTTGGCATCTCTTGACAAATTGAGAAGGGGTAGAGCTGATTTGCATCAATTCCAACGATTGATTTTCATATATTAGATGAATTTTTGATAAAAGTCTCATCAACTACAGCTTTTCGAGTGAACACAAAGGAAGGTCCATCGGTCATATTTTTTTCACACAAATGTTTATCACTTTCACAAAATGGATAAAATTTTTATTTTGTAGATTTGTATAGACAACTGTTTGCTAGATTTGCAAGAGTACATCCATGTTTAACATATCAATTCCCTTGTTAGGATAAAATTGAATTTTTTTTTTCATTTCCTCCAGGGTTGGAACTACATCCTTGTTGTTGAACCACAGCAAAAACCTTTGAACACTGCCATTCCGTTTTTCTGCCAAGTCTCTTGCAAGTAATTGTAATTATCCAAAACGGATGGAGGCACAGTCTTGATTTGAAGAATTTTCTCCCACTTTTTCAAGGGGCCCACTTTTTCTCAATTTCTCATAATCGATGAAGTCTTTGTCAAGAGGATTGTTGTTTCTAAGTCTACTGGAAAACGATTCATTTGGTGGCAATTCGGGGAAATTTAAGTTTGTCTGGGTTATCAAACCACTCATAGGGAAAAATTTTTTAGTTTCGCTAGCTTTATAGGCTTTGAGAAAGGAGTACAGAGTAGTTGCCCCTCCCAGAAATTTCATTATGTCGAGAAATTGTACATCTCCAAACTTGAAAGTTATAAAGTCAATTGTTTTTTTTTGATGATTCTTGTTCTTTATTGCCAATCAAATAGGGGATTAGGTAAGACTTGATCAAATTCAAATCATATCCACCACTATTATATCCAAAAACAGGTGAAGTTTTTACATATGTCTCCAAATGTTGTTTCAAATCGATGAGCTGATTTTTCTGAATTCGTAAGAATTGTGTTGAAATATCGGCTGCTTACCAATCTTCAATGCATTCGTGTTTGCACTCAAATTTGTTGCTTGAATAGGTTTTACTTCTCTCGTTTAGCTGATTAAAGTTTTTTCATTCTTTCATTGACAGCTACTTCAATATCTTGATAATTTTTCTCATCTCTAGCTTACTTTGTTCAGCCAACAGCTCGAGGTTAGTTACAAAATCAATAATCAAGTTCTGTGGATCCTTGTTGTACAAAAAGATGGGTTCATCAATCAGATTTGGTGATATAGAAACTGAAATTGGAACATTGTTCCGATCCAGGTAGTAGTTTGCGTCTTTTAGTTCATCTGTAGGAACACAAATCGACTCAAAAACGAAAATTGCTAGATTATTGAAAAGCTTGTTATTTTCAGAAACTGGAAAACTGAATCCTTCTAGCTTTTCAAACCAGGTTTCGCGAAGCTCATAGACATTCTTTGGGTAAATATGTCTCATTCGAATCTTGTATCTCAGGAGATGCTGATTGAAGTGGACTGATTTGTGGAAAAAGCTGTCACAGCTAGGGCATCGAAAGCACTTGAAGAAACTATCTATATTGTTTTTATGAATCTAATGACTGTTAAATCTCAGTCGTTTAACTGTTTTATCAAATTTTCCATTACTTCGTCGAGCTAGTTCTCCTACATAATCACTTTCTTGGATATCGAAATCGTAGATAAAGATGTTTCTTTGCACAATTTCCTCGACAACAGGTAAGTCTTCTACAGAAACTCCACGAAATTTTGTAGGATCATAACCAGATTTTGATATAAATTCTGTAAAGTATCTGGAAGTGTGAGAGTCGAGATCATTAGGTCCGTTCATGTACATGGACAATGCGCGGAAAAGACACAAATGATCTTTGTATGGTTCCTTGTTTTTGTTAGATAAAAGCAGTTCACTTGCGTATGTCAAAGTAAAGGTTCAAGTATGACAGAATCCGGACATCCCTTTGGATGTTTTTCAGCAGAGCAGCA